ATCCAGTAGCTAGGTGGTCTACCCAGGGTGTATCTGTGCCTGTACTGGACTCAGTTCACCTGTCTCCAACAATTCACTTGCCCCATCTTTCACATCCCACCCTGGGCCTTGGCCACTTGTTTTTTGGACAGCTCAGCTGCCACTACTATCACATCATTTACTAATACATTTGATTGTCTTAGCTTCCTTTGGGAGGAGGGTTATGTTGTGATAGAGCTTCCAATGTGCCCACTGTGGTGAGACTCAATGGACTATTTTGATCAAGCCAGAGGCTCCTCATGATTTCTAGTTTCAGAAGAACCACTGTGCTTTGTGGTGTGGGATCTGGTGCCCCCTGTGGCTGTGGCACCCCTTTGACTGTGTGGATCACAACAAATGTGGAAAATTCTTAAAGAGATGGGAATACCAGGCCACCTGACCTACCTCCTGAGAAATCTGTATGCAGGTCATAAAGCAACAGTTAGAACCAGACATGGAATAACAGACGGGTTCCAAATTGGGAAAGGAGTACATTAAGGCTGTATATTATCATCCTGCTTATTTAACTTATACGCAGAGTACATCATGCGAAATGCCAGGCTGGATGAAGCACAAGCTGGAATCAAGAATGCTGGGAAAAATATCAATAACCTCAGATATGCAGATGACACCACCCTTATGGCAGAAAGCCAAGAAGAACTAAAGAGCCTCTTGATGAAAGTGAAAGAGGAAAGTGAAAAAGTTGTCTTAAAACTCAACATTCAGAAAACTAAGACCATGGCGTCTGGTCCCATCATTTCATGGCAAATAGATGGGGAAACAATGGAACAGTGACAGACTTTATTTTTGGGGGCTCCAAAATCACTGCAGATTGTGACTTCAGCCATGAAATTAGATGGGAATACCAGACCACCTGACCTGCCTCTTGAGAAATCAGTATGCAGGTCAGGAAGCAACAGTTAGAACTGGACATGGAAGAACAGACTGGTTCCAAATCAGGAAAGCAGTATGTTAGGGCTGTATATTGTCACCTGGCTTATGTAACTTATATGCAAAGTACATCATGAGAAATGCTGGGCTGGATGAAGCACAAGCTGGAATCAAGATTGCCCGGAGAAATATCAATAACCTCAGATATGCAGATGACACCACCCTTATGGCAGAAAGCCAAGAAGAACTAAAGAGCCTCTTGATGAAAGTGAAAGAGGAGAGTGAAAAAGTTGGCTTAAAACTCAACATTCAGAAAACTAAGATCATGGCATCTGGTCCCAACACTCCATGGCAAACAGATGGGGAAACAGTGGAAACAGTGACAGACTTTATTTTTTGGGGCTCCAAAATCACTGCAGATGGTGACTGCAGCCATGAAATTAAAAGATGCTTGCTCCTTGGAAGAAAAGTTATGACCAACCTAGACAGCATATTAAAAAGCAGAGACATTACTTTGCCAACAAAAGTCCATCTAGTCAAAGCTATGGTTTTTCCAGTAGTCATGTATGGATGTGAGAATTGGACTATAAAGAAAGCTGAGCGCAGAAGAATTAATGCTTTTGAACTGCGGTGTTGGAGAAGACTCTTGAGAGTCCGTTGGACTGCAAGGAGATCCAACCAGTCCGTCCTAAAGGAGATCAGTCTTTCATATTCATTGGAAGGCCTGATGTTGAAGCTGAAACTCCAATACTTTGGCCACCTGATGCAAAGAACCAACTCGTTTGAAAAGACCCTGATGCTGGGAAAGATTGAAGGCAGGAGGAGAAGGGGATGACAGAGGATGAGATGGTTGGATGGCATCACCTACACGATGGGCATGAGTTTGAGTAGGCTCTGGGAGCTGGTGATGGACAGGGAAGCCTGGCGTGCTGCAGTCCATGGGGTTGAAAAGAGTGGGACACGACTGAGTGACTCAACTGAACTGTGGCTGCTGGAGTGGTGGAGTAATACAACCTTCCCTTCCTGTCTGAGAAGTGATGGTTTTACATGGTCTGTAGGACAAAGTGACTAGCTGTGCTTTTTTTCAACCTTTGGTCATATTTATATTTTCTTTCCCTCCTTGCTTGCCTCACTTCCATTCTCCCCTCACTCTTGCTGTCCTGGATTTCTACTTCCCAATGAAATCTTACCACATAAGCCTTGCCTCAGGCTCTGTTTTCTAGGGAACTAGAACACAGCCAAGGTGGAGTAGTGGTAAAGATTCCATCTGCCAATGCAGGAGACACAAGAGACGTGGGTTTGAGCTCTGGGTCAGGAAGATTCCCTGGAGCAGGAAATGGCAACCCACTCCAGTATTTTTGCCTGGAAAATTCCATGGGCAGAAGAGCTTGACAGGCTATAGCCCATGGGGTTGGGTTGCAATGAGTCGGACATCACTGAGGGTGTGTGCACAAGCACACGCACACACACACACATACAACACAGCCAAAGGCTTCAGGGAGCCAAATGTTGGCTTGCTGCTGCTGCTGCTGCTAAGTCGCTTCAGTCGTGTCCAACTCTGTGTGACGCCATAGATGGCAGCCCATCAGGCTCTCCCGTCCCCAGGATTTTCCAGGCAAGAATATAGGAGTGGGTTGCCATTTCCTCCTCCAAAGCATGAAAGTGAAAAGTGAAAGTGAAGTCGCTCAGTCGTGTCCGACTCTTAGTGACCCCATGGACTGTAGCCTACCAGGCTCCTCCGTCCATGGGATTTTCCAGGCAAGAGTACTGGAGTGGGGTGCCATTGCCGTCTCCGAAATGTTGGCTTAGGCAGTAGTATAAGGCACCAAGTGTACTTAAACTATCCTATTATTTGAGTGCATTTTGCTTGCTCCATGTCCAAAAAAAGCTTACAATTTGGTGAGGCCCTGGAAGTTGTTCAGATGAGCTCTAGAACACCAAGGTGGAAAGAACACATTTTGGGGCAGTCGAGGGGACCATGGAAGGCTCCATGGAGAATCCTGGGGCTGGGTGCTAAGGAAAACCTCCAATCCTCATACAGTATGTTTACTTCATTCTTACAGCCAAGAAGGCTGGCTATGATCTATTCTCAGACTAGATTTAGGATATAACAAAGCCAGAGGCAAGAGAGGCCATACTAGGGCCTCTTACTGGTCTAATTTTATTTATCTATTTGTTTATTGTCTGCTCTTCCTCTCCCTCCTCTTCCCTAATATAAAAGCTCCTTGAGGACACAGATTTTGTGTGACTTACTCACCAATGAATCCTCAGCAAAATCCTGAATCCTGAATCGTGACACTTAGCAGAGGCACTATATAATAAAACATGTTGACTGATCTGATCAACTTGGATTAACATCTAGATAACATTAATTGGAGGAAAGTGAGTCACTCAGTTGTGTCCTACTCTTTGCAACCCCATGAGCTATATAGTCCATGGACTTCTCCAGGCCAGAATACTGGGTATACTAGGAGTGGGTAGACTTTTCCTTCTCCACAGATCTTCCCAACCGAGGGATCAAACCCAGGTCTTCCGTGTTGCAGGCGGATTCTTTACCAGCTGAGCCACCAGGGAAGCCCTTAATGGGAGGAGGAAGAGCCAATTCCAGCTCCAAAAATCAGGGGATAGATAGATGTACTTCCACTTTACTGACCTTGGGTTAAGAGACACCAGTCCCTGATGGTGCTTATTTCCTGATTTATTCACAAACATTTATTGTATGCCTGCTTTCTGTCTGGAACTGTGCTGGGTATTACTTCAGAGCATGAACAATATGCAAATAATGCCTATGTTAAAGGAATTTACAGCCCTGGGGAGAGACAACAAAGAAATAGACAATTATAAAACCATGACATAAATTCTGTAGGTGAAGAGCAGAATCACCTAATCCACTATGTGGAATTAAGGTAGGAATTCCATAATATGGGGATTACCAGGTTTTCCCAGCTCAGGTGGAAACCATATTACGTTAAGGTCAGATCTCACGGAGGTGGTAAGGCCCAGAAATGACATCATTTTCTTAAGTGAATATATTCAGATGGCAGACAGAGGGCTTGGTGACTGAAGATGGGCCCAGAAGATGGTTCCTGGCTGAGTGGGAGGCTGTCAAAGCCATCACTGGCTTGGCCAAGGCTGGGGTTCCCCAGCTCAGAACCTGGTACTCTTGACTTCCCAGAGAGGCATAAACAAGATGAAGAAATACATCTCTGGCTTTGGCCAGAGTTTCTTCCTAGTTGATTGAAGTAATTGACTGTGGAAATTCTCTGTAGCTGAGGCCAGAATCTTTTTAACTCTTAAGTTCCCCGTGGAGCTGATCTGACCAGCTCAGTTCCCTCTTCCTTGGGAAGGCCCTTCAGAAATCTAAACATTTTCTCCTTCGCCTAAAATTCCCCTCCTCTCAGGTCTTCCCCACGCTCACCTCAGAGAGGTAATGATAATAATGACTTGTTGAATGAACGATTCATGAGGTGACATCTAAGTACAACATGTCACCTTATGAATCTATAGTTAACTCATGAGCATATTGGAAGGTGGGAAAACGGAAGTGGGTTACCTGGGTCGTTCTAGGCCTCAAAAAGTTTCGTTTTTTAAAAAAATTTCTTTCACAGCTCTGAAGTGAGGCCCCTTCACTTTCTTCAAAATACGTGCAATATCAAAACTACAAGTCCCATAAGGCCTGCCGAAGGGAGTCACCATCTTGGCACACCTTAGCGCGCATGTCGGCGGGAGAGCGAGCCTTCGGGGAGAAGAAGCCCCGCCCTTCTGCAGCCCATTGGTCGGAGGAGCCGGCGGCGGGCTCAGCGGTTGGCCACCGCGACCGCCCATCCTTCGCGTCGGCCGGGGTCAGAGTGCGCGGAGGTGAGTCGGTGTGTTGTGGACTCGTGGTGCTGGCTGCCGCTGTTGAGGCGGCCGGGAACGGGCGGTGGGGAGCGGGCGGAGCTGGCCCTGCCTCTGCCTGGCCGGCGCCGCAGTCGGCGCGGGCCGCGCCCGCCGCTGTAAACTGTCCTGAGCTTCTGCTCAGGCCGAGGGAGACGTCGGGGCCTGCACCTGGAGGGAGCCTGCCGCGCTGGCCCCGAGGAGGGGGCGTTGCCATGGCGACAGCCTCTCCCGCTGCTGACGGGGGGCGGGGGCGGCCCTGGGAAGGAGGGCTGGTCTCCTGGCCCCCTGCTCCTCCGCTTACAATCCCTTGGACTTGGATGGGCCCGAGTTGGGGGCAACATCCCGGGGTGGGTGATGCGGCGAGGCCCCCCATATTGGGCCCTGGTAATGCATGCGGGGTGAGGGTCGCGGCGCGCAGTTTGGGCAGCCTGGGGTGCTGGCCCATGTGCTCACCCTGGATGCATATGGTCTACTGAGAAACGTTCTGGCAGAGAGGGAGAGTGGCAGGGCTTTGCAGGACTGGCTGGGTGAGGTGATTAAGCATGCTGACTTCTTACCTGGGGTTCCTTAGGAGGAGAAAGAGAGGTTTGATCAAAGAGGATAGAAACTAGCAAGGAAATGGTAGATAGAACATCCCCTTTACCCCCTCACCGACACACATACGCGCAGACACGCAAGATTAGCAGTTTACGTCTTTGTAAATCTGTATCCGTGGTAGTAGTTATGGTGGAAAGAGTGAATAAAGGGCCTAACTTGGCTAGCTTCCTGTTTGCTTTTCCTGCAAATGCTCCAGCAACAGGTGTTTTCTTAAAAAGTCATGAACTTGGATTGGGGCTTGGCTGCAAAGTCTTGCAAAATATAACTGCGTCTTGTTGACTTGAAAAAATGCTGAACGTGGCTCCTCTTTGGGGGCTTGAATTCTGTCCTTAGGGCTGGATTTTGCAAACTGGTATTACCCATCATTGCCTCTGCTATAGGTTTCTGGTATTAGTTCTTGTCAGACATTTTATCAGCCTTCCAGCTGAAGGGCAAAAAAACAGGAATCCCATTGGCTAAAGACTGTACACTATTTGAACTATAGTAGGTTGTGATTGGCTGAATGATTTTTGATTGTAGAGTTTCTACCAGAAATTGGCTTCATCAAATTCTGCTTTATTTGGACTTTATCATACACAGCATGCCTTGTTTTGGTGGGTTCATGCCTGGAGCTTAAGTATATTATACCTGAATTCCCTACCATTTAAAAGCCAATTTATAAACAGGGACTTGGAGTGTGACTCCACTAATGTATGTGTCTGTGATCTTGGTTAGAAACCCACTTGGCTGCCTCTCCTCAGAGAGGTGGGGGTTGGGGGAAGGTAGCTGCCCGGGAAGTGATTGATAAGGTTTCCTTTATGGATTCTGTGGTGCTTCACTGGAGCTCAGAGCACTTTGGCAACTTAAGCACTCCAAATTAAAAGCTCATTAACAATTCCTGCCCAAAGATCCTGTAAATAATCGGCTAGCTAGGTCACAGAGCTTGGCTGAGAGCTCTCCTTGCAACTTGAAATTTCCAAATAAAAGTGCTTTATTCCCTTTCATTTTGAAAAGTGTTTTCTTTGTGGTGGGGTAAGTTGGCGAGTGGCATTTTCCTAGGGGATCTGAGTAGAATAAAGTGTTAAATGTGTAGAGTGGTAGACAGGAGTAGATTGGTTCCAAACCTTGGTGTTTTCTTTGTGCAAGTGCGTTGCTGGCTTACATGGGCACCTTTGCAACTTCTAGTCTTTTGGAAGATGTGATTAGTAAAAGGTGTAAGATTTATGTGCTCTGAAGAGAAAGTATAGAAGATCTGAATTAAGTGATAAATATGATAAGTATCCATTGATGATTTGACTTGGGGTTTGGCTACCTGGACTTTTTTAGAACTTGAGGCAGACCTGCATGTATTCTGCAAGTGTTACCTGGTCTGTGTGGCCCATTTGCAATAATAGCCTGTGGTTTTGCAGCAATCAGTGCTTGCCCCAATCCCTGCCTCAGTTCCTGAGTTATGAATATTGTCAGCTGTAACCAATGTCCCCTCCTTGACTAGACTAGGATTCTGGATTATCCAGAGAGCCACCACTTCATGGCCATATTTCTCAGTCCAGGCTCTGATATTTTAAATGTTCAGTGTCTCTAGGAGATAAACCTCCTTTGGAAGAAAAATATGCCACTGGAGAAAATGAAATTCATCATTCCAAAAATATATATAGTTGACCATTGAAAAATGCAAAAGTTAAGGAGACCGACTCCCCACACAGTTGAAAAATCTGCTTATAACTTTTGACTCCCCCAAATTTAACTATAAATAGCTTGAACTGGAAGCCTTACTGATAACATAAGCAGTTGATTAACACATATTTTATATGTTATATGTATATGTACTTGTATTTAACACATTCATGACATCTTATTTTTATCTTTTTTGTCATGTCTAGGCTGCTTGGCTTATCTGCAAGTTTTTTAAAAAATTGTCACGCATCTCCAAAAAAGTGTCTAGTATATTTATTGAAAAAACCCTAACGTAGGAAGTAGGCCCACACAGTTCAAACCTGTGTTGTTCAGAGGTCAACTGTAGCTTCTGAAAACTCTGTACTGGTACTGTCTTCCACATAGATAACTGTTATCCCAAAGTAGTTTGAGTTTAGGAGTTTAAGTATAGTGTGGTCTTAAGTTGTTTCAAAGAGCAGCCCCCTGGGGATATGATCATTTATATTGAAATAGACTTGTTGCAGAGATATGTATTTATCCACAGCATTGGGGCTTTCCAGCTCTCACTGAACCTTCAGCATCCCCAGCGGCCAGTCTTGGCATCTTCGAAGTAAGGAGAGGTGAGAAATCTTATTGCATGGTCAAGTTTTGGCTTGACGTCTTCCTGATGAGTATTTGGGCTTGGAGGGAGGGGAGTGGGGACTGGTGCACATTTTACTTTTCCGTAGCTTTTTCTGACAAAATACCATATGCTGAAAGATGACTGAAACTTATGCAAAGTTTATAAACTGGTGAGAGTTGGAGGTGGGATATCCAGACTTTCAAGTTCTGCCATGATTTCTTTGTGGACATCGCACAAATACCTACTTGAAGTTCAGGAATGTCGAATAGAGCTGGAATGATTCTTTGTCCTAAGAAATACATGTCTTAGGACATTCGGAAGGATCATATTTATTTGGTTTTTAATAAATGCATTTTACCAAGGCCTTTGGGATCTTGGTTTAATTTGGGTTGTGGATCACCTCTGGGTGGATGGTTAATTCCAGCCTATTTCCATTTTATGAGGATTTTTGAGGCTGGCTAAAAAGTTATGCTCTGTTGATTGATATCCAGGATCTCAGAGGCTGTTTGTTGAATAACTGAGGTCCAGGCATTTTGCTTGGTGTTGGGCTTGTGGTGAACAAGACAACTGGTATCTCTGTCCCTAAAGAGCCTACATGGGAGAGACAGATAGTAAAGAAGCAGTTACGAGACATCTGAGAGGGCTGTAACAAGGTAAGTATATGTGCTCTGAGAGTACTTAGAAGGAGCTCCAACCCAGACTGGTGGGTTCAGGGAAGGCTTTACAGAGGAAGTAACCTACTCAGCTAGAATTGAATGAAGATGTGAAGAATTAAGCATAAAGGTCAGAGCTTTGTTGAGTTTGAGAAGCTGAAGTTCAGTGTTATCGAAACACAGAGAACTCAGTGGACAGGGAACAGGAGAATATGATAAGAAATGAAGGAGGAAAGGTAAGCAGAAGCCAGGGCCTTATCAACTCTTAGGATTAAATAGTGGGTAGAAAAGAAAGATTAGATCAGCAAACTTTCTGTGTAGGACCAGGTAGTAAATAGTCTTTATGGGTCTTTGTCACAACGGTTTACTCTGTTGCTATGGCACAAAAGCAGCCATAGTACGAAAATGAATGAGCATGGCTGTGTTCCAGTAAAACTTTATAAAAACAGGTGGCAGCTGGATTTGGCCTGTGAACCAACCACTAGATCAGACCATCATAAAAGCAGTGAGGAGCCATTGAAAAGTTTTAAGCAGCAGCCTAATACTACATTTGTGTTTTGGAAAGTTTGCTTTGATTTCAATGTCCAGTGTTAAGAATAGATTGTGATAGGCAGAGAGACCCGTAAGGAGGCTGTGGCAGTTACATATGGGTGACATTTTATATTTTCGCTATTGAGGCAATGTTTTGAGAACTAAAAATTGAGTACACCTGAATCCTTGCATCAATGTGTATGCTGTCCTCTTCACTAATTTTCTGATTATCTACTTGAGCTTAAAGGATGTTTACCTGAGAAATTGTTGGCAATACCAGCTCCTGTTTCACAGACTAGAAAAGATGGGTGGGAGGGACAAGTTGGTGTGGAATGCATGAGAAGTTTTGGGAAACTTTTCTATTGAAAAAAGTAGGAAATAAATGTAGCCTGGGAGAGATTTTAGTCTTTGCTCTCACAGCTTAATGTCAATTACTTTGAACTTCCTGAACTGTATACACGGAGGGGGACCCATGTTCCTATGCTTCCCAGGATATTGCCTTATTCTTTATATGTCCTACTTAGTCTCTCCTTTGTTTGCTTGTAGGAAACCGGTGACCTTTCTCTGGTTTTGAGAATGTCTCCTAGTTGAGTATGACGGTGTGTGTCAGGTACAGGGACCAAATAAAGTATTTGTGAGTGTCTGATGAATTGTCCTCCTCCTACAAGCTCTGGTGTGCATTGCTGGAGGGAAGCCTATAGGTTTCTGATAGCAGCGCTTATGTGACCCTGGGCAAGTGACTGACTTCTCTGAGTTTAGTTTTCATGTCTGTAAAATGGAAGGTTGGTTAAGGATTTGATGAGATGTAAAACTCCTAGCACGGTGTCCTTAACTTTTGTTATTAATAGTATTTTACACAATTTTTTAAAAAAGCATCTAGCAATCGGGTGACTTGGCCTTTGGCTTAGTATGTTTGGGGTCCTCACAATCGTCGTTGTGGCCGTGTGATAGAAACGCAGCTCCTGGTGGAGGCAGCCAGCAGACAGGAGTACATTATAATTAAGGCAAGATGCTGCTTTTCACAATGGAAAATTTTCAGACAGCAGGAGTCCCATCCGGAATTCCAGAACTTTCTTTGGGGTGGACCTTAGCCCCAACACCATCAGTGAAGCAAACTGGGCGAGCAGCTACCCGAAAGAAATTCATCAAAGTGTGACCAGTCATTTTTCCTAGTCTGTCAGGGTCATTTATTAGTGTTGCCATCCTTGTGGCCCTTCGTCTTTGTAAAGTGCCTCTTGAATGTGTTTTTTTAAATTACTTTTCACCACCCCTCTGGGAAGTGGGCCAGGTGGTCAGCATTACTGTCCTTGCTGCACAAGTGAGGAAACTGAGGCCCGGGATGGTTGAGTGTGCTGTCAGCTGGTGTGGTTGCCTCCCGATGAGATTGTGTGTGTTTATTGCTGTAATTTCTCTTCCTTTGAGTGAGAGGTGTATAGTTGATGCAGAACTGCGGTCTGCTGCATGCGTTGTCCACATCTGCTCGTCTTGATCTGGATCTGTTTATTCACTTGGTCCTGTTGGGTTTTAATTGATGACTGCTAGGAACAGGCCTGCTGGGAAGCAGATTCCCTTTGGGTCATTGTTTTTAGACCATCCCCCTTTGGGGACATTGTTGGGGGAGCCTTGGGTGACGAGAGATTGCTTTGATATGTTCAAAATTGTGCCTCGTGCCCCACAGCTACAGGTAATATCAAAAGGCAGATAATTTATGGGAGTGTCAGAGCTGGCCGCTGGCACCTCAGGAGGCCATTAGTATGCCTGTTCAGACCCTCTGTGTCCTTGCAATTGATTCCTCTTTGCATGAGCTTGATTTGGGAAGCTGTAGATCTGTGGGTAGTGATTGGATGTGACAGTCCAAACACCGGTCCCTAAATTAATCCTTTTAATAGTATTCCCGCACCAAGGCAGTGCTGGCCCACTCTCTCTTACTGGGGAGGACAGAATTGGTGGGGGGTGGGGGGGGTAGGAAGAAGAGAGAAAGAAAAGAAGCTTTTCTAGGTTCTTAGGCCCTGCTCTGTTCTGACACATTCCAGTTCCAGAGCAGTTGACGTCATAAGTCGTTCAAATGTTGCCTCCCACTTTGTGCCTGGCCCTGTGCTGAGAGAACAGAAATGAATAAAACTTGGTCCTTGCCCTTAAGCAGCTAGGTCTAGTTCAGTGTTCCTCACACTTTTTAGAACTCATATACTCCTTAGATGGAGAAAAACTATGCTTTAATGCTACTTGGAATTTTAAAATGGTTTCAATGGTCCAACCAAAAGAAGTACTTCCTACACCTGTCTTCCATTATTCTTACCTGATGAAACTCCCTGAAACTTTTCATCTCCCTGAAAATGACTGGTAAGAGGAGAATCAGGTAACTAAAATCTTACAATATAGTGAGATGAAAGTTATGAAGTAGGAATAAACTGTGCTGCTGGATCACTTAAGCAATCAACTTTCTGATGAAGTGTCAGAGAAAGTTACTAAAACGGGGAGATTTGAGCTGGGTTTTGAAGAAGGAGCAGTAATTTGCCTGATGAAAATGGAAGTACATTTCAAAACAGAGGGAGCAGCAATTGCCAAGGCACAGATTTGTAAAAGGAAATGTCACACTAAGGGGCCTGAGCACGAGCTGGCTGTCACCCTGCTTCCTGCGAGTTTCTTTGCTCTATGAGACGGGAAGATTTGCTCCTATGGAACTGGGTTGGAGGAGAGGCTTTGAGTTCGTTGTGCTGCAGTTGTTCTAATCCAAGACATTGCTTCCCGTTTCCGCTTTTGTACCCAGGGCTGCGATTTGTTTTTCTTTTTAGAAACAAATTTGGGTGATTTGGACAGACTTAATTATTGCTTATGGTTGAGTTTCTTTTAGTTAAAGTCATATCTTAGCTCAGAAAAAAACTACAATTGATATGCATTGTTAGCCCCATGGCTGATGGGAGAATCAGCCAAGTGGAGAACACGGGCCCTCAAATGTAGGAGAGGAGAACAGGGCCCTGAAGAGCTGAGTGCATCTCAGCCTTAGTGTTCCCATGTGTGAAATGGGAATGCTGTTCCTTTTTTACTTGATGGTTGGGAAGCTTAAATGAGATGAAATATGTAAATTAACCACTATAGTGCCTAGCTTATAGTAGCTTTTCAGAAAATAGTAGTTTCCTTTCCTCTTTCTCCTGTATTAACAATAATTCCCTTTAACTGAGATCGTACTATTGTGCAAAGCACTTTGTACATATTATACAATCTAATTTAATCTTTACGAGATAGGCATTATTGTTGTAGCTGTTATTACAAAGAACATGTGGTGGAGTCGGGATTTGAACTGGTGTTTGTCTCATACCAGCATTTTTAACAGCTACTTGTTTCTGTTCTTGTTCTCTATCTTGGAAGCAGGGAAGTAGCCAGTTCTGGGTACCTCCCATCTGGGATCAGATGCTGTTCTACGAGTGTGGGAGGAGCTTAAAGGGATGAGAGTACCATACCATACCCTGCCCTTTCTCCATTTTTGTTCTGTTTATGGTGTGTTAGGAAACTAGCCTTTGCCCCCTCTTCTGTGCCATGGGGCACAGCTGACATGCAGGTCTTTTGCAAAGAGAGGTTTCTCAGCCTTGGCCCCTTAGAGGAGTTGGCCCAAGTCACTGGATATGGCTAAGGGTTAGCAAACAGTAGGCAAATCACAAACAGGCACTTTTTTCCATGCTGTCTTGAGTGGCTGAGATGGGCTAATTGAAGGGGAGAGGCAGCCTCCTATAGCTTGTGATGTTGCTTTCAGAATTTTGTGTTCCTGGTCTTTAGCGACTTTAGCTCTGCTGATAGTTTGGGTTTAGCAGCTGCTTCT